ATAGGTATATCACGCAATATAAACATTACATTGAGAATACCAACGAGTAAAACCCCTCCTATTTCTTTTGCATATAAAAAGTTTATTTGTATTCAGTTATCATACAGACTTGAAGTTGTATTGAATTGTTTGTGCATGTTAAAATAGCTTGATAATGATTGGCAACGGTACCCTGTGATCTCTCTTATAAAAATGTATAGGCACAGTTGATTCATTCAAGTGAATATTTAAATCTTATATGCGGCAATAATTCTTATTATTAACATCGATAGACACCTGTTGATGATATTTGATATGGCTACACTTTACATAATACCTGCTACCTCGCCACATCAACACCACACCTGGCTTAAGAACCATTTACACTAGTCTGAATCCCACAATCGGTGTTTTGACACACCAGTTGGGAAATATCAGTGGTTATTAGTTTTTGAAGTATGCCAAAATGAAGATATCTACTATATGACCATAATGCACCGAGTTGACGATTAAACTTAAGTGAAAAGTGGTAACGGCGTTATATATCCCTTATTACCGTGATATGTATTTTATAGGATTATTTCATAGTTACTAAATGAATGTTAGGGTGATAAAAAATCGATGAACATTACTTAAACATTAAATAAAATGGTCGGAAAAAGTAGTCATTTATTTTCGTGAAACCTACTTTTGTACCATTGTTTTACCCACATTTTATATAAATATATAATACATGCATTTATAAAATAGTACTTGAAGTTAAATTACTAATAGTACCTGAAGTTAAATTATTAAAAATATTGACTTTTAGAATTCAGAAATATTACATTAATAAATCCAGTGTCCAGGTAAGAAACTACATAATTTTTACGTTGTAACACAAAATATTAGAAGACAATGGTATAATTGTTTTCAGAATTTTTACTAAAATCTGTAAGTACAAATTTTCAATGATTCTAATATGTTTTGAAATAAATAGTAGTAAATATTCAGTGTTATATGTAATATAAGAAAATAATTGACATCAATCAATGTATTTATATATATGAATTATATAATTACTTGACAAAATCTTATATATATAATTCTCGTGTCACAGTTTTCGTTCCCATACTCTTCCGAAACGGCTTGACTGATTCTCATGAAATTTTGTGAGCGTATTGAGTAGAGCTGAGAATCGGCCAACATGTAAATAACAATTGCGTAGTGATCATTATGATCCGCACAGAACGATCGGAATTGAAAAAAAATAATGGTTGATCTAAATCGTTTAATCCACGTCAAACGGAAGATTGCGGCAAATATATCAGTTGAACACGTCGCTACCGACGCACCCGCTATGTAATACGCTATGACTCGCAAGCTCCGAGGACGTGTAGACGACAGATCATGTGTCAACTACTTTTTGTGCTCGCTGAGCAGATCAAAAGAGTCGTCACGTGCGGTTACTACATCATGCATATAATCTCTTTGGCTCCCACTCATGATGTCCCGACATGAACCACGTTTCAAACGATGTAAGCTAGCCAATACCGTCAAAATGTCCTGCTTAAGGCTAAATTCGGAGTGAACAATTTATACGTGCGGCCCACGCGCGCTGAAATACGGCGCTCGCCTCTTTCAACCCTTTTATGCTGAGGATTTATTGACACGACTTATGCTTCAATAAGCCGATCATATACTTGTGGCCGGTGGATGTGTAAGTAACTCATACTTATCATGATCTATGACACAATGTAACCTCGAGGCCTACTGCACCACGCCACGCTTCACAGATTACAAATTATATTACAGCTTCTAGCGACGCGCTCCGGCTCTGCATGACACCAAAGTATCACAATAGACATATTACTTTCTAAAATATAATAGTATCAAAATCATTAGCCCAATTTAGAAGAACTAAAAGCGCACAGACTTAGCATTGCGTAGTTTCTGCCGGTATTCCGGTATACCATGAATCCTGCATGGTATTTTCTTATTTTTTTGTAATTTATATTTTTATAAGTAAAGTATTAAATAATTTCATTTAATAAAATGGTAACTATACAGTGATTACATATTCCGTAAAGAGATCTTGAAAAAAGCGTAAGTCTGGCGTCACCAATTTTTAGTTCCCTAGCAAAGCGTATTTGGATTTGTGCCAAAGTTTCTGAGAAAACGGGAGAAGGTTACGCGATGTCCCTTGCTTTATATGCCTAAATTGTGTCAAATATTATATTCTCATATATTTTTCGGATTTAAAAAGATTCGAGCAAAGTAGGTGTGTAGTAAAGTCTGGCAATGTTCAAATAGCAGATTGAGCGGGAGTGGCAATGATGACGTTTTCTTGGCACTACGTTATGTTAAGGAAAACAGTTCGTAATATGGTTATCTGGAAAAAATCGGTCGTATATTTGTAATATCACTATTGTATGACCTGTAGTTGTTAAGTAGAACACATACTAAGTTATAGCAGGGAGCAATATGCGTTGTGATTGTTGCATCCTAATCTGGACGCCGGCGCCCGTCACCCTTCTTCCTTATTATGGCTGACATGCCGACAGAGCGCAGACATGAATTTAAATAGATGCCTCGATTGCAACTACATTCCGTGTCAATTTTTAGGCATAATTCGCAAAGTGCCATAAATAATTGATATAAATTTTGCTGAGTACCAAAATTACAGTGTGTGTGATATTTTCAAACAATGTGACGAGTTAGGGATTTCGCTATTAATATTGGTGAATGCTTTCATTAATCGATTCTAACAGAATGCACAGTTTATTATAGTTTATTTAACTAAATAGTTGTAGTTACACTAACTGTAAAATTTCAATATTTTGATAGAGATATTCAGTGGATTACGTATACAGTTGTAGATATAATTTACTTCGTTCCGATTGCAGTTGCACGTTACATACACACTGTTACTTAGCAACAATACTTATTTTAAATGTGATGGATTATACTTTTTCTACTTCAATCAATGTGCCTAATACGGTCCCTTAATCCATTACATTTAAGACATTCTCCATCTCTACATTTAAATAACATACATAATATAAAACAATATACAGAAGAGTAAACAATAGAACTACTAGCAAAAAACATATCCAAAATTAAATCTGTTAAAATACTAATAATTTCTGTTGGACCTATACCGCCCTGATAGAGATATTCAGTGGATTACGTATACAGTTGTAAATATAATTTACTTCGTTCCGATTGCAGTTGCACGTTACATACAAACTGTTACTTAGCAACAATACTTATTTTAAATGTGATGGATTATACTTTTTCTACTTCAATCAATGTGCCTAATATATTTATTAGTTAAAACTACATAATAATTCCTGATATAAAAGTAAATTTCCAATACTTTCTGGACTGACCTATGACATAATACACCAGAATCATAAAAAAACTACTATATTCAATATCAGAGCAAATAAGACAACTTGCAGCGTCAAATATATTTACTTGTGTGCGGGGTAGAATACGCCTGCTACAACATTGAATTTAACCTATATAAATAAGTAGTGTTCAAGTACAGCAAGAGACGACTAACATAAAGATCAATATGTTCTCACGCAACATGTCTCAATCGTTATCAGTGCACTCGTGGTGTGAGGTTAATTAAATAGTTACGAGAGGCAGATAACAGTGACGCCTATTTATAGAGGCCAGGCCACGTTATCGACCTGAAGCATCTGATAGCCAACCTATCTACAACACCTAGGTACTCATTTGTTTTCTTTTTAATCTATGTAGTTCATATAAATATTTTTTAAATTACTCACAGTAAAGTGAAATTAATATCGTCTACAAAATATTTGCAAACTTGATAGCCGTAGTTTAGTAAAATGGTAATCTTAAGAACACACAATCAGGAAGAAAATGAAATTATATAGTCACTGGTTAAGTAGTGTACTTTTCAAAGCCTACTTTTTAAAAGACATGTCTTATTTTACTAATATTAAAAACATATAAATATGAATGATTAAGTCTAAGGATTTCGGCACACTGAATTTATATATACAAATCAACAATTTATCATAAGATTTAAAATACAGTTACGTAAAATGTAAGAAAAATATATTTCAGGACAAAGTCAATTTAATGGTATACTTCGATGAGATTGAAACTAGACAAGAGTTAGTAAAACAAATATATGTTTTACCAAGGATAAGATATATTCCTAGTAAAACTAAAATTATATTTTAATTTTTAGTTCAATTAAATCAATACACTTTTAATTCTGAATTGCATACATATAACTTATAAATGAAAATATCGAAAGATTTCTATTTGCTTTGCTCTTATAACGACTCGATAATGATAATTTTATACACGTGTAGTGTAATACTGGTATTTACTTCATTCGATTTAAGAGGGCCGACCCCATGAAAGTAATATCAATTGCTATCTATCAATTTCAAACAAGATACTGAATGATTATTTAATAAAAATCCGGTCAAGTGCAAGTGGGATTGCATACCGAAGACTTCGTACAAATAATGTAAACATGTTTTTATTAGTTTGATAAGTCATGAGTTGATATAAGACAATTTATTTAAATATAAATAAATTATAACTATAATAAATGCTTTTAAATTATGTTATTTAAGTTAAATAATTAATTTCTCGGTTAGAAGTAACGCTTTTCACATACTATAATAATTATTCTTTTTTCAGTTTTATTTATACTAACTAAAATTTATATAGGTATATACGTTGTTGGGACGTATTAATATTTAACTAGCGGCCCATACCGACTTCGCAAGGGTGAATATTTTTTACACTATTGATGATTTTTATGACAATAAATATATTTTGCGTTACTCAGGGATAACAGTCTAATGCTGATATAATATTTGTAATCAATCCATTACTTTCTCAGTTTATTCGTTAAATATACAAAAACACAAACCTCTCCTCACTATATATATATATTAGTGTAGAATATGGATACTTATACTCCGTAACAGTTTATATTTTGTTTGTTATATTTATTTCCATGTTTTAATTTTGTTTTGTTGCAGAATGTCAGTTTGGCAAGCAACCGAAGGAGCTGGGCTCTTCGTGGTATGCCGACCTGGGTCCTCCTTTCGGCGTCATGTACTGCATCATATGTGAGTGTTTACCGGTACGTATTCTCCACATTATTGTATTTTTCATTTTATATATTAATTTTTATTATTTAATCATATTTCTCAATACGTATTTTTTTTATTTTGAATGGCAACAAAGACAACTCTATCTAATGGTAAGCGATAACCGTCACCTATGTACATGAACAATACTACGGACATCACGTTATCATGTGACACCCGTCATACCACTTATTCCAGAGGTTTTAGATGTCTTGTCTCTTATCCTAATTTAATTTTCATTTGTAATTAATAAACTCAATAAAGGAAATAAACTCTAGAAAGATACATTATCAGCCCGTAACATATGTACCTATATTTGATTTAAAAAATTAGATATCTCTTTAATATTTGTACTTATATACGTACGAAGTCGGGGCGAGACGATAGTATTTTTTATTCTTTTTGACAATTTTGTGACGCAATAAATGTATGTTATTTATAAAAACTTAATAGTCATGACATACCTAAGAAGAGAAAAATACACGATCTGTCCGGATAATACTGGATTGAACAGCGCAATATTGATGTCAATGTAATAGAAATATCTGCATATTTTTATTAGTATAATGCATATTGTTTGTTTGTCATATAATAATGTGTCAATAATGGACGTAAAATAAATTTCAACAAGACTCAGAATAAATTTTACCTTCTTTACAAGCTTAACCGATATGGTATTTTTTATTATGTTCGTAATTGATGTGTGAAAAAGCTCTATAAGACAAAATATGTATAAGATAAATATTGAAAATTTAGGGCATATAGATGGTATTTATCTATATATTGATCTGTAGTTTGTCATAAATTGCATTCTTGTGAATACAGATTGTTCACATTCGAAAATATAATTTTAATTATATTCAAAACAAAACTCGTGCGTTACTTTGAAGAATTTGAAAAATATTACTTTATTTAATTTGTAGGTGCAAAAAAAACGCAGGATGGTGGCGAAAGTCCACTGCCGTAATATAAAGAATGAATGTCCCGTACCATCGTGCGACTCACCTGTGCTACTACCCGGCAGGTGTTGCAAGACCTGCCCCGGAGATGTCAACTGTGAGTACTAATTATATTGAAATATATTTAGGTAATTATATTGTAATTCTTAATACTATTCATAATCCATAACACAAGTTCTATTTAGTTTAGGACTAGACGAGTCTGTGTGAATTGTCCTGGGTTATTATTATTAAGAGGTGTATTTCGTCCACTTATGTGGAATTCCGTGGATTTATTAGCTCTCTTTACAATTTTTTTTTGCAGTTGCGTGTATCATTTTTAACATCTGTACATGATAGCATCATCCAGTAACTAATATAGATTGTGAATCGGATACTATTAATGATGTACGGCGGAGAAGATTAAACGTTTAATTAAGTAAACAGAACCGCTACAACCACATGTTGTTTTCTAGAATCTTTCGACATTATTATCAAAAACTTCATGATAAATTAACATGTAGACTAATTACCACCGGCGATTCACTTCCGCAGAACGGCGATATCTATTGCTAACTATCTTCGTTGTATTCACTGTCATCTTGAAAGTTAGTTTCTATGCTGAATAGGTAAATGTTTGATTAGTTTTTTTATATCATTGAAATGGCAAACTGATCTGATGATAAGTCTATAGTATATAGTATCTGACGGTACATGAACAGTGGACATAACATTATCATTACACCACCATGGACCACTCATACGTTGCCATTGCAGAGAACTAAGAGGTCATGCCTTTTATTATGTAATTTTACTGTCTAATCACACCCTACAACCGAAACACATCTTATAAAGCAAGTTGCTTGGCGACTGAAATAGTTGAAACTGAGACGCAGACGACTTTGATGATGGTATTGGGCTTCGCCAGTGGTAACGAAATATCAGCGCTACAGGTTTAGTTGTAACTTTATAATGCGTTGGATTACTATTCTTCTTTGCGGCATATAAAGATACTTCTATTTTTCTATTTGTATATTTATTTTGTCTGTTTATACGTACACACACAGTTAATAAAGAGAGAATAAAGAAATTTTCTGTCTATCTATTCATCAAATGCATCCACTGACTGTATACCAGTGAAGGACAATAGGTCACCCTTCATCGAATTCATCTGGAATTAACATACATACACTGCTCCCTCCCGCCCTAGTATGATTAGTAGTAACAGGGAGGATAAGTAAACTGATTAAAATTAACAGTTATGCAATCGTATTGAAATTGATTTTCTCAAATGATGTTTATAAAATCGAAAACCTATAAACGTTAATCAGTTATGGTTAAAAATTGTTATTCATTATGGAACAAAGCCGCTGTATATTGTATGCTGCATCTACAGGGGGCAGGCAGGCAGGCAGTAACAGTGTTAAACACTTGTATATACTTATGCATATACTGAGGTCTCTCTGCTATTGCGTAAGCGTCAGTCTGACGAAGATAGATCTAATATAAAATATTAAAGTCACAAATGTCCAAATCAATACTCTAAAATAGATGATGTCACGCCTTTTTTGGTTGTAGGTTACATGATATGCGAGTAATGAACGGGAACGTTTTATTAGAAGCTAATAAACACATCCATTAAACATTGTTTCTACATTTTGGTGTCTCGGCAGCATTAGCAAGTCAGTGCCGCCTCGATTGTATTGGAAACATAGTGAACGAACATATGAACGAACAGGTTAGTGACTCACAGGCCATCTGTCGCGAAAACTATCTACACATGTGGAAATCGAATGAACGACATATAACTTTATGTGGTTTTATATGTATGCTTCTTGAGTGTCTGCTATTAATATGCCATTTTCGGCTGACCTGTTTCGATCGTGTAATATGACACTATGTCCATTAAAACTATATACATAAACAATAGCTGGAATTATATATGACAATGAATTCGGTAGTGAATATTTAATAATCTTTACATAATATTAGCCGCCGCTGTAGTTCAGCAATAGATTAGAAAAGTGATTCAAATGAAAGTTTTGTCGTACATCCATGTGAAGCCGGGACGGGTCGCTAGTTCTGTATAAAAGATGCTCATACTACTGATCACCTTATTCATAAAAAAATAAAAAGTAATAATAATGTAGTTTGGTTAAAAGTTGAAATTGAATGGCTTTGAAATTTCAGGATTTGGAGCCATAATATATTTGTCTTCCGGTATGGCGACGCATGAGTGATATCATAGATGACCGTAGTTTATTCATGTATTTAGGCGATGGTTACCGCTTGCCATCAGCTGTGCCGTTAGCTTTTGTTGCCATTAACATTATATATAAAAAAAATGATATGGGACTATTTCGTTCTTTAAAACTATAATATTTTTTCTCAAATTACATACAAAGTGATTTAACACTCAAGTACTTAAATGAATACGTAGGAAATTTTGTTTTCTATTGTTAAGGTGATAAAACCTTATCATAATAACATCGAAGATTACATTAAATAATTTTAGTAATTTCTGTCTTAATTTATCGCATGTGTATTTTTTATTAGGGTCGTCCATCATTGCCTTAAGTAGGCATATCTTTTTTGCGGTATCGGCAAACATGCAGTCTTTAAAAGGTAATTGCGGAATGTAAGAAAGTATGCGTATGCGATGTGACAGGAACTGGCGATGACAAATGACAGTTGACTGGCGAGCTGTGGCTCCCACGACTCTCATCAATATACATTAAGTATAATACCTATAGTGGATTGTTCGTTTGTCCTGTGGATTCACATTTGACTAACTTGCACATCGTTGCATGAACTACCAATTCTGAAATCAGTTATATGTGTTGAGATCAAAATGGGATTAAAGATATTTTATATAGATTATCCAAATAGTGCTGAATATGTATTAAATTTTCATACAGCTATGTTTGTATAAATGTTACGAGAAATTTACTCAAGAACTACTTTAGAATTAGAGTATCGTTAAAAATCAATACTTGTTTGGAATCTAAATACAGGGTCTAATATTGCATTTCCTACAATAGCGGTGTGGAAGGGTAGACTTTATATAGTAGAGATTTTTCGGCATACATGATATTATTTGTTGATATCACAGAATAGCATAGAGAAAGCTGAGACCTCGATTGTAAAACGCAAATGACTTAAGGCCGTAGCCCAAACGACGACGTCGCCGACACCGCGTCTGCCTGCTGCGTTCAGTCATTAGGACTATATCGAGAGCATTACAATGGCATTACTCAGATGCACCGGGCGGTGGTGCAGAAATGGCACGCGCTGGTGCACCCCCCTGCGCCCGCGCCGCCCGCTGCTGCAAATAGCTGCTGGTGTTAGTTATTCCGGGCGCGGCCGTCGACCCGCCGCCGCGACGCCGTCTGCGCGCCTTTTTAGCGAACACAACTTACAACACAGAATTTTTTTGCGAACGAATATCGACGATGTCAACGTACGCACTTTTTACATTTCTTAACTCATTTTTGGAGTCTGCGGGAAATGCTCATAAGAATTGATGACTCATAGTATGCACCGTTTTGAACATTACTTGCTGCAACCCGTCCCGACATCACATGGGTATAATTGTAGCAGAATTCAAATATTTTTGGAAATAAACATTAATTTGTTAGCCTGTAGTATGGGAAGCTATAGTATATAGTATATTTCTATAGGATAAATAAAATCGGTTCACTTAATCGAGTTTCTTGTGTTTAGGTATATAGATTATAAACTATAGCATAATATCTTTCAATTTCATTATAAATATCAGGTAAGATGAAGCAGATATAAATCATATTAATGCAATGAGATCTATAAGGAGTATTGTTGTTTGAAATGGTACTTGTGATATTCATAGATATTTTCTAACAAAATACGACATGAATGAATAAACACTTGCTACAGTGTATAAACCTTTACGTTTGGACACAGCGGAACTGAAAGGCGACCATAAAGTCTATCTGAGGCTCGTAACTATAAAATGCATCAAATCTGATTCACTGTTTTGCCTTTGTGAGAATGCTAGTTGGCCGTCTGCCGGCCGCTTGCCGTAATATTATAGTTTATCGTGCTTTTAATAAATCTCCAGTGCCATACGAAGATTGTAAAATGTATGATTTTTAATTGAAACCCCGCCAGGTGTTGCGGTAATAAAACTTAAATGAATTTCATGCTTGTAGAAGAGTCACGGTTTGTCGGCGATATGATATAGTATCTATTATTATAATTATAGTTGATTAACTTAACACAGTGTAAAAAATACTAGATTACTTATTTTTTATTCTATTTAAGTACTGCAAGCGCTATTTCACTTAATGATATTTACATACTTTATGTAAATAGATTTACTTTATGTAATACTTCAAACTTTAGAATTACTTTTTGCAATACTTCACACCAATTATGTAACCATAAACTTAACTTGTTTTCTTAACATAAGAAATCAGCACAGTAAATCATAATGGTAAAACTGTTCCTGGAAAGTTGAAAGTAGATTGTAATCACACTGCAAAATATATATTCAATTACGACAATGAAAGCTTACTTTCATATGAAATATTTTTATATTCTGCCATTAACATTTTAATGTTTCTGTAAAAAAACATACCTAATGCTAACTGTATTATTAGGCGACACTTTGCCATCAACCATGTCATTATAAACGTATATGTAATTTAGGTATAGAAATTATCCAAAATAAATCTAATTTAATACTAAGATCTAAGTAATATAAATAATATAAATCTTACTATTAAAGTAAAATAAAATAAAATAAAATAAAATAAAATAAAATAATAAGTAATTAAATTAAACTTTTAAAAAAAATTGTGTTCTTCTACGTAAACATGACCTTATTTAGGGACTACTAGATAGATATACGCTCTATACCACGTTGCATTCCAATATATAATATATACCCTGCGATATATATATATATATATATTGTGGTCATATTAAGGGTTGTGTTTATCATAATATCGACAGCTGACAATACCTAAACCCCTAACAATACACTCGGTATATATGGGGAAAATATATGAGGAACTACCTTCAGTCTTTGAGCCATCGCATCACAACACACCACCACCCTAATAAATATTTTTTGCATTA